TGCTGAACTGCTGAACTGCTGAACTGCTGAGCTGCTGAGCTGCTGAGCTGCACCCTGGCCTCCCCGCCTAGCCGCGACTTCTTACCCTGCGTCCCGCATCCATTCAGCCCACCGCTTCCCACCGCTTCCCGATCCCATCCTCACTCCGCTCCCGCAACGCACATGGGTCCCACCGGCTCAAGCACATCACCTGCTCTTCTTGCACTTGCATCCATCACACACTAGGTGCATCCTTCGGCCTCGGCAGCACTTATCCAGCATCTCACTCGAGCGCGGCAAGCGCAACTACCATCGCAGCCTGCCTTTTCATCTCGCCTCCATCAACAATCCACTCGGCAGGCACAACGACCGACGCCTTGCTACCTAGCGGGTGCACATCGACAAAGGACACTTTAGCCTTCACTTCGTCAAAACCAGGCTCCCCACGATGAAGTGCACAAATTGTGGCTCGTCGGCCATCGACTACGCCGACAACCAGGCGGTGTGCTCGCAATGTGGTGTCGTGCTCGAAGAGTCGCAGATCGTGAGCGACATCACGTTCGGCGAAAACTCGGCGGGTGGTGCGGTGGTGCAGGGTAGCATGATCGCCGCCGACCAGGCGCGTGCGCGCGTCTCGGGCCCCGGCGGCTTCCGCGGCGGCTACGTGAGCGAGTCGCGCGAGATGACCATCTCCAACGCCCGCACGGGCATCCACAACATGGCGTCGGCGCTGCGCATCCCCTCGCACGTCGCCGACCGCGCGTTACGCTTCTTCACGCTCGCGCTCGACGGCGGCGCCTCGGCAGCCACGGGCGACGAACCCAAGAACTACGTGCTGGGTCGCAAGTCCGAATACACGGTGGCGAGCTGCCTCTACGTGGCCTGCCGCATGGAGAAGACCACGCACATGCTCATCGACTTTGCCGACGCGATCCAGGTCAACGTGTTCATCCTTGGGCGATCGTACCTCAAGCTCATCCGCGTGCTCAACCTGCGCCTGCCGCTCATCGACCCGAGCATCTACATTGCACGCTTCGCCGCGCTGCTCGACTTTGGCGACGAGACGCAAAAGGTGGCGTACGACGCCTCGCGCCTCGTCTCGCGCTTCCAGAAGGACTGGATCACCGAGGGCCGTCGGCCGGCGGGCATCTGCGGCGCCTGCCTCATGCTCGCCGCGCGCATGAACCACTTCCGCCGGTCGGTGAGCGAGGTGATCCAGGTGGTCAAGATCGCCGACGTCACGCTCCGGGCGCGTCTGGACGAGTTCAAAAAGACGCCGAGCGGTCAGCTCACCGTGCAGGACTTCCGCGACGTGTGGCTCGAGGAGGAGCATGCGCCGCCGGCGTTCCTGCGCGCGCGCGAGCCAGCCACCAACAAACGCAAGCGCAAGTCGTACAAGGGTATCCAGCTCGAAGGCGTCAAGGAGACAGACGCAGCCGAAGGCTCGGATGCCGATGCGGATGCCGACGTCGAGGCGGAAGGCGAGGAGGCGAACGGCGCCACCAACGGCGCCACTGACGGTGCTGACAAAGGGGCGCCGTCGGATGGCGCGGAGAACATCGATCCGGAGCTGGAAAAGGTGGTGGACGAGGCGACGGAGCAGGAGATCCAGCAGTACTTGCAGCAGAGCCTGGCGCAGGAGCTCGACCGCGCGCTCGAGACGCAGGAGCGCGAGCGGGAGGAGCGCGCCAAGTCGGGCAAGGTGGGTAGCGGTGCAGCAGGGGCGTCTCGAGCGGCGACGGACGCGATCCAGGGCGTAGACGCGCCCATCCCGGACGACAATGTGGCCGGATCGTCGGGCTCGCGCGAGACGCTCGACATGAGCAAGGCGGGCAAGCTTTTGCCGCTGGGCGGATTAGGCATGGATGTGCCGGGCACATTTGGCGACCGAGCCGATGCCGGCGCCGCAACATCAGCGAAAACAGCAGCAGCGATAACAACGACAACAGCAGCGGAAGCCGAGGGGTCTACGAGCGGGGGCCGTCGACGAAGCGTGGCTGCGGCGGGGG